GATAGGTATGAGACAAGATGTGGAAGAATGGTGCACGACATGCAGTACATGTTGTGCTAAAAGGGGACCCAAGCATAAGAGACGTGCTCCAATGAAGTTATACCAAGTTGCCACATCGATGGAAAGAGTAGCCATTGACACTGCGGGTCCTTTGCCCCAAACTCGTGCTGGAAACAGGTAAATTTGTGTGGTGATGGATTATTTCACCAAGTGTCCTGAGGCATATGCAAAACCATATCAGGAAGCTACAACTGTAGCTTCGGCTATTAGTGATTTCTTCTTCAGATTTGGTATGCCATACAAACTGCATTCAGATCAAGGCCTTAACTTTGAATCAGCTGTGTTCCATGAATGCTGCAAGACCAGAACAACGCCACTTCACCCACAGTCTGATGGGATGGTAGAAAAGTACAACTGGACACTGGGACAGGAGTTGGCAAAGTTTTGTAATAGCCGCCAAGATGACTGGGATGTCTTACTCCCTCCACTGTTGATGGCCTATAGGATAGCAGAGCATGAAACCACTGGATACACTCCAGCAAAGTTGAGATTTGGTCGGGAACTTCGGTTGCCAGTGGATCTGTTAACAGGATGCCCACCTTATGAAGAGTTGCCTGAAAATGTGTCAGAATTCGTGAAAGTGTTATCGGAAAGAATGGATAATATTCACCATCAAGTGCGTTCAAACTTGAAAACGTCAGCTGATTCGATGAAGTTATCTTATGATAAGAGATCTACTGAAGTCAGCTTTGTAGCAGGAGACAAGATGTGGTTGTATAATCCCAGGAAGACCAAAGGGAAGTCTCCTAATTTGTCATCTCCATGGGAAGGCCCATACGACATAGTGGATCGTCTCTCAGACGTGACTTTCCGGGTAAAATGTGGTCGGCGAAGTAAGGGAAAGGTGGTGCATGCCAACAGGCTTTGGCGTTTTCACGGTCCAGGACATTTCAGTTGGAATGAAGTGAACAACGGAACAAAAGACGCCACTGAAGACGTGTCACCTGGAAAGGCCACTGTGGGAGAAGAAACTCTACTGGGTTTTGAGAAAGGAAACAGTGAAGCCTTTGATAAAGTTACTACCACTGATGAACTGAGGGAAAGTATTATTCGATTCTCAATAATTTCTGTGTGTGTATATATATAAATATATTTAATACTTAAAACAATAAAACTATTTTACAATATCAGTGTAGGCCTAAAAAAGTAGTTAACAAGATAACATTACTTCTGTGTCTTCTTTCTTTTTCTATCTCGAAGTTTGTCAGAGATAGTTTTTGACTTGCATGCTACAAACCTTAAGCTGTGCATAAATGGAGAAAACTATGAGAAAACTCGTCAAAACGAAACTGAGAAACGAAACTGTAAAACATTTCGGATCTATTTCGGAAAATATGAAACATCTTTTTGTAATTATCCAAAGTTTGGCACTCGGATTGAGCAGAAATTAACGTCTACCAAAATATGCAGTTTAAACAACGTATTTTATTCCAGTTATGCTTTGTATGCTCAGTTACGATGTAAAATTGTTTAATTAAACTAACTTTGGGTTAGATCGTCCTGAATTCTTTACACTGCAGGTTTGTTTTTCACTGATATACTGTTGAGCCTAATTCAAGAATATTATATTGCAAAGTTTTCTGTTGCCTAGAAACCAGATTTTTAAACACTTTTATGAAGACAGGTCTATTATGGGAATAAAAGGGGTGGGGTGAATGTTTATGATTAAATTTACGATGACAAACTAACGTGTACGTTAATTTACGGGACTTCTTACTGTTAATGTTGTAGTTAGGCTTAGACCATTTTATCATGGTAGAACATTACACTGTAGTTCAGGAATACGAACACACACAACACACAAAATTAATCTCCGTATGAGCCCACAATGTGAACAGCATTTTAGAATCACTGGCCAGTCCGCCCTTGACTATTGCTATGCCATATATTACTGTATGACCTTCCTGGACTATTCCAATCACTACAAAATCCAGTTCCAGAATTTAGCTGGCTAACTCATCAACATTGCCTTATTGAGAAACCAACAGACAATGATGGAGAGGTACCATGAGAGGCTTACCAGGCTCAGTTAGAAGTAATTTTCAGAGTGAATGGATAGAAGAGTGATGAACAAGGTTAATTACAAGGACATTAAGTAACTTCCCAGTTGAGAACTATAGAACTAACAAGCATTGGTAACTGCCTTAACCAACAGGCCGAAGGTTATATAAGGTCATAAGGTTAAAACCAGGGCAAAATTCGGGAACAGAGTAAGTGGGAAAGATTTGTTTGTTTTGTTGAATTTCACACGAAGCTACACGAGGGCTATCTGTGCTAGCGTCACTAAGTTAGAAGTGGTAAACTAGAAGTAATGCAGCTTGTCAACACTACCCACCGCCAATTCTTGGGCTACTCTTTACCGATAAAAACTGTGATTAATCGTTACACGGCTGAAAGAGCGATCATATTCAGTGGTAGGATTCGAACCATTGACTCGCAGGTTGCGAGTCAAGCGTCTGAACCACCAAGTTATGCCAGGCCTGGAGGGAAGAAGAGATCTTAACCAAAAGTTTGGAAGATTTGGAAAGTCGTGCTCAATTATCTTACCACTTTTCCACTGGAAATAATAGATTTGTTAGCACGTGACCAATTTTTAGTTGTCATAAGAGACGAAGATACTATATTACGTAGTGTACATCTTTAGAAGAAGCTTTGCAGTTGGCGATGGAACTGATCCATTAAAGTCGCAGATAAATAACTAAAAGCTCCATCCAGAAACTAAAATGATCATCAAATCACATGATGATAGTCTAGAAGAACTGAAATAATTAATCAGGCAGCTAGGAAATAAACAAGTCAATAGGGGTGTCAATTAACATATTTCGACGAACTGTAGATTGAAACCTGTAAGAAATACAAGATGTTATAACAGGGAACTGTTATATTGGAAAACATGACTAATACAGCTTAGATTGTGAAGAATTAATTAATGTTAATACACCAAGGAGACAATGAATCTCGGAGACAAACAAGACTAATGAAACAATAAAAAGCTAAAGTTAGCTGTTCCAAATGAGATGGGTAGTTAAATATTGGAGGAAAGACCTTCAGAGGTTTATTGGTGGTAAATCTTGCAGTATGGTTCTACCGTTAGATGATTGACACTGGTTCTACAGTATGGTGAATGACCCTGGTTCTATAGTATAATGATTGACCCTGGTTCTACAGTATGGTGATTGACACTGGTTCTACAGTATGGTGATTGACACTGGTTCTATAGTAT